GAAAGAACATAAAGACTATCTCTCTTTGTGGAAGTGAACTTACACTATGCCCTTGACATATAAAAATAAAATTTATAGTAGATAAAATTACAAAATAAATAATTTTAAAAGATTTTTTCCTGATTGGAAAGCATACAGACTTTTAGATAATAATGCCTTATATTGACCTTTCTTTCTCTCCTTTTCCTTACAATGTTTTTAGAAAGAAAAGTACATCCAGAGTTTACGCTTAAGTTGTTTAGTTTACAGATGAAAGCATCACATTTAGTTCTTTTGACATATGACCATCATTTTTTTAGTGTTTTACTGCTTTCTGGAATAAAAGGTGTTTCAGGTTTGCCTTTTTTTCTGTTCTAGAACTCTTGTCTTTTCTTTATTAAAGGGGCCCTGAATGTACACTCACAGGTATACCTTATACATGTACACAAAAAATAAGTGTTTCTATCTTTTTTTTAATATTATGACATCATAAGGTTTTTGTTTCTTAGTCTTTTGCCTTTCTATATTTGTAATTATGTTTTCCATTAGTGAGTAATCTTTTCCTGATAATTCTCAAGAATGTACTAATTTCCTCTACACAGAAAGAATTTTCAGAATTTTAATTCAAATAACTGTAAAAAATAAACATCTTAAATATAGTGCACTTTTATTGCAGTTCTCTTTTTTTTTTTTTTTGGTCTAATCTGCACCCAAGATTATGGTTTTTTTAATTGATTTTGGAGAGAAAGTAAGGGAGAGAGAGAGCGGGAGAGAGAGAAGAATTGATTGGTTGTCGCCCATGCCCCCACTGGGGATCAAACCCAAAATCCAGGCATGTGCCCTGACTAGGAATTGAACCCATGAACCTTTGGTGCATGAGAGGACACTTTACATAACTGAGCTACACTGGCAAGGGCAAGTACTTTTTTTTTTTTTTAATTCTAACCCGACAATATTTTTCCGTTTTTCAATTGTCAGACAGAGTGGCAGAGAGAGACACATCGATGGGTTGCCTTCTGCATGACCCCAACCCGGGCCTGGGACTGAACTGCAACCGAGGTATGTGCACTTGACCGGAATCAAAACCACGACTCTTTGGTCCATGGGCTGATGCTCTAACTGCTGAGACAAACCGGCCAAGGCTGTTTAGAATTATAATATATTGTTAAGTGTTTTACTCAATGTTACTTAGATTTATATTTACACTTAGAATTTTAAAGCACATGAAAAATCATCATTCCCATTAAAATGACAATCACCAGAAAAAAATGAAATGTTTATACTGTTTTTTTATTTTATTTTATTTTTAAAAGCTATTAAAAAGCTGACAAAACAAAACAATAAAAGAGCCTGAAGTCTGGCTAGTGTGGCCCAGTGGATTGAGTGTTGACCCATGGACTGAGAGGTCCCAGTTCGACTACCAGTCAGGGCACATGCCTGGGCTGCAGGTTTGATCCCCAGTTGGGGGCGTGGAGGAGGCAGCCAATCCATGTTTCTATCTCACATCAATGTTTCTCCCTCTCTCTCCTTCCCTCTTTCTCTAAAAATCAACAACAACAAAAAAATAAAATAAAATAACTAGAGTGATGCTTTCTTCTTAGACTCATTTTATTTATTTATTTTTTGGTACAATGTCTATTATACAACTGGAATTTATGATACATGAGGCCAAGAAGGAGAATATAATCCATTGTCAAGAACAAATTCAGTCATGGAAATTAACTCAGAGATGATCCAGGTGTTACACTTATCAGCAAAAGGCTTTAAAACGACTATGAAAAATAACTTTAAATATCTGTAGGAAAAGATGAATGTACTGAAAAAGGAAATGAAAATATGAATAGATATTTAGGAAAATTCAAGTCACTAGAAATAATCTACCATGATACAGAATAAAAGAAAGTGAAGAGAAAAATGAACTGAGACTCAACAACCCGTGAGGTACTGTCAATTATTGACATACTTATGCAATTGAGTTTCCAGAAAGAGATACAGAGTGAATTGAGTGGGGAAAAAAAAAGAAATAGAAATTATTTGCAGATCATTTTCTGAATGTTAATGAAAATATCTATGCATTGCTCCAGAAAGCTCAGGAAATCCTAAGAAAAATAAATACCGAGTAACCACATATAGGATCATCAAGTTAAACTGCTAAAACACTCAGATAAAGAGAATACAATTTTAAATAATTAGAGAAAAAAAAAAAACATAGTAAATCAGGATAACAATTATATGAAGAAAAGCCGATTTTCTATTGGTAACAGTGGAGTCCAGAACATAATAGAATATTATTTTTCTATTTCCACCCCTCAAAAAAATAAATTATCTCTATCTAAAATCCTTTACCAAGTGAAAATAACTTTTATAAGATATTTTATAAGACATTTCTTTGGTCATTACCAGATTGAAATCTGCTTCTCCAGAAATTAATAAAGAGCCCCAGAAAAAAGAAAATAAGAGAAATTTTTCTTTCATAGGAAATATATATGTATATATATTTATATTATTCTTTTAAAATATTCTTGACTGAGTGGAGAGAGTAAGCAGAATTATAATATTGTAAGGTTCTTACCATATTCATAAAAAGTGTAATTGATTATATTTAATGATAGAACATTATTAACTAAAGATCAAAAGTGTAATCTCTAGACCAAGTCAGCAATATAGGGGTCAAATCTAGTATGCTTCTTGTTTTGTGTGGATCAGAAGGTAAAATTTATTTTGCATTTTTAGTTAAATAAAAAAGGAAAATATGTGACAGACTATATGCATACTCTCAATCCCTAAAATGTTTAATATCTGGCTTTTTTCAGAAAAACATCAGATTTTTACTCAAGAGAAATAAACACACATTCACACAAGAAAAAGATGTAGTGAAATTGTTAATGACTGAAAAAAAAGGCAATGCAAAAACTAAAGCAGAGAAAACATAATAAAAAGAAATATAAATTGGTAAAACTAAGCCCAAACATATTTTACAAACAATATACATTAATAAAGTTACAAACAATATACATTAATAAATTCTGGATATATTCTTAAAAAATATACAATGCAAAAAATTGATGAAGAAGAAACAGCTCACATAAATAATGTCTTGTGTCTTATTCAGTAGTTGAAATGGTATTGATATGTCATCTTTTCCTGAAATAGCCAAGCCAATATTTTTTTTCAGGTAAGGTCCAGAACAACTTAAAGAAAAAATTGTTTTTGCTCGGCCAGTGTGGCCCAGTGGTTGAGCGTCGACCCATGCACCAAGAGGTCATTGGTTCAATTCCTGGTCAGGGTACATGCCCAGGTTGTGGGCCCAATCCCCAGTGTGGAGCATGCAAGAGGCGGCCAATCAATGTTCTCTCTCATCAATGTTTCTATCTCTCTCTCTCTCTCTGCCTTCCTCTCTCTCTAAAAATCAATAAAGAAAAAAAGTAATTTTTTAAAATTGATTTTTTCTATAAGTTATTATGCAAAATTAAAAAGAACTGAAGTGGCCAGCTCATTTGCTGAGCCTTGTACAATCTTGATTATAGAGTCAGATAAGGAAATATAAGAAAAGAAAATTATAGGCTAATTTTCCTTATGACTATAAATAGAAAAGTCTTAAAGATAATTTTGATTCAGGAAAAAAGGCCTTTAATGAATTTTAACACCCATCTATTATAAAAGTGCTTAGCAGAACTAAAAATTAAAGGGATTTCCCTGACTTTATAAAGCTTATATACCAACACATTTAGCAAGTATCCCACTGAAAGGAGAAGCTTTAGATGTGCTCCTTTTAGGACAGAGAAAAACACAGGTTTTCTTTCCTGACACAGCTACTGTTTAACACAGAACTAGAGGTCCTGGATGAGGTTTGAAGGAAAGCAAAAGAATAGAAAATGAACAGAAACGGGTTAAAATGAGATTATTTGCAGATGATATACTCATCTACTTAAAGGGGAAAAAATATATCAAATTCAAAAAACCTAGTGAGATAATCAATAAATGTGTCATATAAAAGATGCATCTTTAAAAGTTTTGACTAATAAATTCTAAACCAACAAAAAAACCCCAGGAAAATGGAATTTTTAGAAAGTTACTAAACTGTACAGTAATAATACTAACAAAACTGTACAGTATGTAGGAATCAACCAAAAGTACACAAGACAATTTTTAGGAAAAACTTTAAAATTTGAATATAAATTAGACAAAAAATTCTGAATACATGAAAAGATATATATACTTTTGCATTAGATGACTTCATATAGTAAATATACCAACCATTCACAAATAAAATCAGAAATGTACTGCGTTTTTAATTAAAATTATATTTGACTTATTTGACAAACTTAACAAACTTACTTTAAACTTAATATGAAGAGCCCTGGCCGGTTTGGCTCAGCGGTTAGAGCATCAGCCTGCGGTCCAGAGAGACCTGGGTTCGGTTCCCACTAAGGGCACGTACTTCGGTTGCAGTTTGTCTCCGGCCCTGACCCAACCAGTGCCATGCGGGAGGCAGCCACTCACTGTGTCCCTTTCATGTCGCTGTTTCTCTCTCTTTCTCTCTCCCTCTCACTCTATCTAACAAAAAAAAATGTCCTCGAGTGAGAATAAATAAATATATATAAAAAAACATATATGTATATGTATATATATGTTTTATATATATATATATATATATATATATATATATATATATATTTAAACTTTATATGAAGAATAATGCCAAGCCAGTGTGGCTCAGTGGTTGAAGAGGTCGCCAGTTCAATTCCCTGTCAGGGTTGTGGGCCTAATCCCCAGTGCGGGGCATGTAGGAGGCGGCTGGTCTAAGTTCTCTCTCATCGATGTTTCTATCTCCCTCTCCCTCTCCTTTCCTCTCTCTCTAAAATCAATAAAGAAAAACAAAAACAAAAGACTGTAATAGATAGAAAGATGAACAGACAGATGAATACATAGATATATTATTCTGTATTCCCTTGTTGTTGACACTTAGTGTTTTGATGCTTTATATTCATGGCCTAAATTAGATCCTTTGACTCTTTCAGGCTTGTTCTGAGCTCAGTCTCAGACTATTTTGCTGCCATGTTTACAAGTGATGTTTGTGAGGCCAAGCAAGAGGAAATCAAGATGGAAGGCATAGATCCCAATGCCCTCTGGGATCTTGTCCAATTTGCATATACAGGTACAGTAAAAAATGTATAGCTTCACATTGATGTCATCTGGATTTTAGAATTTCGGTAAAGAAAAATATGAGTTGTATCCTTCATCGTTTTCTATTTGAAAGAATAACAGAGAAAAATTAGATTATTTTTTCTATTGTCACCTAAATTACATATGCATATGAATGTTTAGATATACTAAATTCCGTCCACAAAGGATTTAAACTGGCTTATAAAAAAATAGCAGATAGATGATCTTGAAAGAGGAGCAGAGAGGTTATTAATTATCAAATAAGAATTTATGACCATATTTAAAACATTAGGAGGGAAAATGGGTTCTAATTTTCTTTCATTTTGAAATGGATGTGTTCAAATAACTCCTTTTTTTTTTTGGAATGTGTTATTTAATGTTAAAATCCTCTCAGAACATTTAATGTGAACTCTATAAATAGCTTTCTTGAAGTGGACAATGAAAACACATAGAATTGTGAACATGACTACATTTAAAAGCTATTGTTTCTCTCTGATCCTCTGTATTGACATTTTCTATTGGCCTTTGTACCTTATTATATTTAGTAAACATAATTTTGCTGGTTTAGCAAACATTTGTTGAATGCTGCTGAATGTGCAAGTATTAGTTCTATCTCTGGAAAATAAACTAATGAATAAGCCGTATCTTTGCCCTCCAGAGCCCTCGGTCCAAGTGGGAAAAAAAGAGACAAGGGAATAAATAGAATATAATGTGAAATATTAAGAGAAAGTTAGAAGGCATAAAACCTGCTGTTTAGAACATTATCAGGGATCACATTCATTTAAAACATTTTAATAGTTTTTCAAGACTCATGAGATAAGAGGAGACATTATAATAAAATCTTGTGATAGCAGCGAAGGAAGATAGAATGAAAGTATATATATTTTTTAAAGAATGGTGTGTGGTTCATTTTGCCTGACCTCCTGATCATTAAATAGTAAAAAAAAAAAAAAAAGATAGGCTAGGACCTAATTATCAAAGCATCTTCCTTGTTTAAAGAGATGCATTTTTCAGTATTTCTGGTAACAGGAAAACAATAGATGGTGTTTGAAGATCAGCCTCTAAAAGCAAAAGACCTTGGAACGAGTGGGAATCTATCTTCTTTGAGGATCTGGCTTATCATAGGGAGAAGCTTTCTAATACCAATATAACACTCAGTAAATGAAGCCTCTTTGAAAAGAAGGATGCACGTGTTTTAGGTGGTGAATCTCAAAGCAGCAATGTGATAGAAGATTTAGACATTTTCCAGCCTCAGTAATTTTTTTTTTTTTTTATCTTTACCTGAGGACATTTTTCCATTTTTTGTTAAGATAGAGTGGAGGGGGGGGAGAGAGAGAGAGAGAGAGAGAAACATCGACGTGAAAGGGACACCCACACGACCAACCAGGGCTGGGGACAAACTGCAACCAAAGTACACGCCCCTAGCGGGAACTAAATCAGGTCTCTCTAGACAGCAGGCCAATGGTCTAACCGCTGAGCCAAACTGGCCAGGGCAGCCTCAGTGATTTTAAAACTATTTTTGGTCAAAGCAAATTTTGTCCTGGACAAAATTAAACAGGTAAGCAAGTCTTTACTGAAAGCTGTTGCAATCCAGGAGAGAGACCAGAATTCAGTGTTTACTTATCACGCTAAGCAAATTAAGGCAGACAGAAAAAGTCAAGAACCACATTCCACTCCTATGTGGGATACAAAAGTGAGAGATATAAATGAACAAACAAAAACAAACAAACCAAAACCCATAGGCACAGACAACAGTATGGTAGTTACCAGAGGGAAGTGGGGAATGGGGTAAGTAAGTGGTAAAATGGGTGAAATAAATGATGACGGAAGCAGATTTGACTTTGGGCAATGGGCACACAATGCAATATACAGATGAGTGTTATAGAATTGTACACTTACACCTATATAATTTTATTAACCAATATCATCCCAATACATTTATTTAAAAAATAATGTAATAATAATTCTGCTGAAACAAAAGGCAGGGGGAAGATTTTTAAGTGCTCAGGTGAGAGACAGCACAGGCCATCTGTGTTTGCTAATTTGCCTATCTGAAGGAAAAGTAATGTTTCTCCTACCTTTGTGACAGAAGGTAGTTTTACAACTTGAAGCAAGGAAATTGACCATCTTGGTCAATTACAATTTGCATATGACCTGAAGTAGTAGTAAAAGATCGTGGCCTCCCTGTGAAGAGATAGCAAACCACACCACCTTATTTTTTCTTGGAAAGAAACAAATCCTGAAACATTTGAAGACTCCTTCTAGCAACAGAAAGGCATAGATCCAACACTTACAGCCTCCATTGCCTGGCAGCCTGGCATTTTTCATGCGCAAAACTAGGTCAAAAGACACTCATCATCATGCAGCACAAAGTTGGACGGAGTTTCAAAGCTCCCTGCTGAATGTAATGACCTAGATTTGATTCTGCTTTTTAAAGGGCAGAGGGGATACAAAGCTGCCGTTTAGTTGCCACTGCCACTTTGGCCTTTGCTCTGATATGTCTGTCTCCTGGTGATTGCTAACTTTCCAATTGTTAGTTTATAGATATGCACTATGAGAAAATAATGTACAAGTAGTATTAGGGGAATTTTAGGTATAACATAAAATCTATACCTGTCTGTTGCTACCTGCTATGCAACAATCACAATAGAAGAGATGGAGTGAGCAATAGTATTGAAAGAATAGGAGTTATTTGTAGATGTGCCTACTTAGCTAGCTTGCTAGCTGATCTCTAAGACTATCTGCAGAAAACTAAAAATAAATGTATCACAGAAAAGGGGAAAAATGAATTAGCAGTAAGATAATAAAGGGTCAGATTTGGAATATTTTCTTAAGTTCTGAGTTTGAGAGGCTTTGAAAAAACTAAGGAGGATCAATGTCAAGAATTAATAGTTAACTATTAGCTGTTAAAGTAATGTGTTCAATAGAGAGAAATGAGAGTGCTTCAAAATGATTTTGAAGAAACAATATCTATCAGATCTGAAAAGTTTGTAGTTTGAAAACCGTATGTAACTAATTATTTCATTCACTTAGAAATTAAGAAAAAGATACAATGAATAAAGTAGATTAGAATGAATTTTTGACTGATATAAGCTTCAATATTATAGAGTTTAATCATCTTTTATTTAAAGATGAATCATCTTTTAAAGAATTTCATTTAGCTTTTTTCACACAATGTAAAAGCTCAGGAATGCAAAAAAGAAAAATTTACACTGGTGTTGGAAATAATTGTATTTCTAAGTTCATATCACTTTTGGAAATGTTTGATTAGATTTTAAGTAACTTCATTTCTTCTTTTAAAACTTCCCATTGAGTATTTTCATAGATTTTTTTGTAGCAAATCTGAGTGTAATGAGAGCCATTCATAGAGAGCAAAGGCCCATTTAAGCAACAGAATGTACTGTAAAATACAGTAAGTCCTCCCTCACTTAACAATGCTGATAATTCTGTAACTTTAAGTGAAACAATGTATAATGAAACCAACTCTAGCATAAGCTAATTGATATAAACAAGAATTAACTTCCTATAGCATCTCATCAAAATTAAAAAACAAAACAAAACAAAAACAACTATGTTGAATGAAATGATGCTACTTGGGAATCTGCTGTAGTGTCCTTTGATTATCAGGAAAGTTGGGGTATCTTTTTCCCCCCAGGATGATGTTGGGGGGATCCTTATGATACCTGAAGACAGATAATTTTCTGAGACTTGCACAGGGAGGTGAGTAATTTTTATTTTTGTGGAATTACATTCCTGAGTTTCCAAAGCCCCATTCCAGTTATAGAAAAAGTGTAGCTGGGGTTTCAGTAGAGCTAGAAGCAAAGCCAATGTCCAGCATTTCCACTGCATGCTGCAGCTGGGTGCAGTTCAGCATCAGGCTATTAGTCCATTGTGTGTGGGGTCAATTTGGCCATGGGCCACGTGGGTGAGCACAGGGAGCCAAGAGAGCGTGCTCCCTGCAACAAGGGTCCCAAGAAAGCCAATATCACCAAGAGCCTGAGATAGGAAACTCCCTTTTTCAGAGGATTAAATATACCAAATTTCACTCACTTAAAGTGGCCATGCCCATTTTAGTCAGTGACCTGTTGCCAAGTGTGACTGATGGACAAGTACCTTCCTGACGTCACCACAGCTTTATTGTGTGTGAGAGTCCATAGTGTGACTCTCTTCACTCAATATGATAAACTATCATATTGATAAACTATAAATTAAGTCTGGATGAATACAGATTAGAATGACATAGACCTTTAAACAAATTGACAATAAATAAAATTATTAGAGCAGGACATAGTAAAATAAAGCTCAGAAGTTTCATTTTCAAAAGCAGTAAGATCTATGTGTCACGATCCATTGCATGGCATTCTCGGTTGTATAGTTTTAAATGAACTTAACAAAGTTTTAAACATTTTCCTACATGTTAGGAGCCTCTGTTCTGTAATTTTACTCAATCAGAAAGAAATACCTGAATAATATTTGTTTTAACTGCTAAAGCCTATGATTTGGAACAATGAAGTTTATGTTGTTCTGCAATTATTCTACAGAACATCTCAGAAGCAGGGAGTCAGAGGAGAAAATTATATTTATATGTTTATAGTTTCTTATCATTCAATTTCCAAATTACTTTAGAAATTCCATCCTGAACATTATACATTTTACAAATAAATATTTTTCTTGAAAAACATTTTTTGAGAATTTACATATTTAATATGTCAAATAAACATTGACAAACCAACATGAGATAGATCAGAACTTTGCTGGTGTCTTTTGAATTAATATGAAGGCACAGACAATTATTTTTTCAGTGCTAAAGATACTCTGGAGTTCTTAAGCAGCCCACTTAGTGAGATAAAGTAACCTGACAAAGATCAATAGTGAGATATTGAATCTATTACTAGAATAAAATGTCCTAACACAAACTGAATGGTACTTTACTGAATCAATGCCCTTTTGTATAGTATGTGTTATGATGGCGTTCTTTGAAGTGACGAAGAC